ATCACAACGATACGTTCGATTCGATAAACCGTAATTACCGCAGCGGTTACGGTATTCACTTGTCGCGTTTGCAAGGGGTTACCGGGTGCAACATCATCCGGTATCTGGTGCGCGAACATTAATATGGTTCAGTACGAAATCGTAACCGCGCTCACGTGCGCCGAGCTTCTGTTATTATCACTTAGCTATTACGCGTTCGTGGAAGCGGCGCGGATCGTTGATGTCGATACGTATCTGATTATACTACCATAACTACCGTTACGTTTAGCGTTCGTTCGTGCGCATGCGCGCGCGCGTTCTCGTACACTTCCGCATTACGAGCTTGTGCGTGCTCGCGCGATAATTGCTAATGATACGCTTGTGAGGCAAACTTTAAACACCGCCACCACTGTGCGAATGAGAGAGAGAGAGAGAGAAAGAAAGAAAGAGAGAGAGGAGGGACAACGACGATAACCGCCGCTATTAATCTTGAGGCGCGCCGCTGCGCGCTGAAAATAATACCCGCCGTTTTATTTAATTTAACGCCGCCGATTATTTCAGCTCCACGGATTTCGCGGTGTCCGCAACTTTCGCGCCATTTATTTATGTTCGTTCTGGACGACGATATATCCGCCGTCGGTTAGGTTTTAGCAGCGGACTCATTCTTCGCGATATCGATCGGCCTTGCGTCGCGAAACCGATTGTGCCGGTAGTTTTTTCACTTTTCCGGAAAGATAGAAAAAAACGCACGAATTATAAGGATTCAGAAGATAATTTGTACTTTTTGTAGCAGATATTATAAGTCATTAAAAAGAAATTTTAAAAGGCGATAAATTCTCGCTGTAGTAAAATTAATCGGCACTGAAACAATCATCCAAATTAATCCTTCCTGTGATTTGTGGATTATTCAAGAAAAGGTTGAAATTTAAATTGACCATTATATTTGGATGAATTTTAGGGACGGGGCTTGGGATCCCCCTCTAAAAATATTAGGTGGTAAAGAAATATTATGTACAGGGTGTCCCAGATTACTTTCACAATTTCTCGTGAGGACGTAAAGCGGATTGAAGTGAATACAAAAGTCCCATACCGTTTTGCAATATTCGCAATAATAGTCGAGATATTAATTAAAGAAGATTGGTGAATGATCACGCGCGATATGGAGCTGCAGTGGCACCGTCTGCTGTTGTATACTTATACATTAAGTCAAACTGAACAAAAAAGTCCTCTACCATTTTGCAAATGGCCACATAGATATTTAGATTAATTAAAGAAAATTGTTACATGATTGTGTATCATAATGTATAAATTTCTTTTAATTAATACCTGAAAATCTATGTGGTCATTTGCAAAATAGTAGAGGACTTTTTTGTTCAGTTTGATTTTATGTATAAGTATATAATGGCAGATGGCGCAATTGCAGCTCATCTACCATATCGCGCGTGATCATTCATCAACCTTCTTTAATTAATATTTTGACTATTGTTACAAATATCGCAAAACGGTATGAGACTTTTGTGTTCATCTCAATCCGCTCTACGTCCTCACGGAAGATTGTGAAGGTGATCTGGAACACCCTGTATACTTGCAGACAGCTGATCTCGTTTACCGCGGAACTGCGAGCAAAGTTGCGAAGATTCTCTAAATGAACCACGAATCACAGGACGTTAATGAAAAGTAAATTGTAAGAGGAAAGAAGTTCTTTTTGCAATTGGTAAAATAATAAGAAACTATATATTGCTATGCGAGATGTGAGCAGACAGTTTGCGTCGACAATCATGCGCATTTTTATCGCAGAATTGTACCGATAAATTATAATTTTTTTGCAATATTTTTATTTGTTGCTGTTATTTTATGTATATTAGATTAAATTATTTAATTTTAAATAAAAATTGAATTTATTTATTTTTATTTTCAAAAACTACTTTTAGTACCCGAAAAATAATGATTTCCAGTTGTTAAAGCAATTATGTTTTTTTCAAAGGGCACAGCCAAATTATTATTTTGCTTTGTTATCCATCAAAAATAAATAAATAAGTATATATATATATATACTTTCTTTATTATTTTCTTCATTTTTTCGACGTTGGGTTGTTGATGTCCTGGAGCGTCCAGGGCGCTCGTCATCTTCAACGTCTTCACGGCCCTCTTGGAAAGAGGATTTGTATCACTTGTAAACGCTTGTTTTATTCATAGAAGATTCACCAAAAGCAACGTTCAACATTTCCAATGCGGTGCTGCACTTTATTCCATTCTTAAAGCAAAATTTAATGCAAATTATTTGTTCCATTTTTTCTCCAAGTTAAAAATCACCGAGCATACTAAAACACATGTAACCTTTTCGACAACCAACAATAAAGTAAGCATCCAATATGGCTACCAATGTCAAGATACGTCAGGGACAAGTGTACCAACACAACAACAAAAAATTGTGACAATTGGACTTATATAACCTGCGAAATTTAAAAATTCCGCGTATTTTTTTATCAAACCTCATATATATATATATATATATATATATATATATATATATATGAAGCCGCACCGTACCGAGACAAGTTGTACGAACATTCCCACTTAATGTGAGAAGGAGAATGTGGGACACTTTGTATATATATACGATATACTTAAATAACATATTTCTATTTTAACGTCAATTTTTATAGTCAATTTATTTAAGTTTATATTATTTCTATGATACGTATTTCTGAATTTGAACGTTAAATTTAACATCGCTAAATACAGCAGAATCTCGTTATAAATCCAATTCAGGACATAAAACAGATATGTAACAAAATCCTCCTCTTCAATAACGTTGAATTTGTCTAATCTCTGCCAATATGCATGCGTAGGCGCAAATATGTGTGTACGCAGAATTGTGTGAGGAGCATTTAGTGAGCAGTGATTTGGAAGGGATCTTGATTAGTGTTAGTGAAAATATATGTGAAGGAAAAAAGATTTTTAGCGTTTCAGAATCTTACAGTATTTATAGATTAATAATGACAAAATATTTCTAATATTAATTTCCAACGTCATCTGTTGACAAAATCCGAACGAATTTTCTGACTGATTCAATATATTAAGTCAAACTAAATAAAAAAAGTTCTCTATCATTTTACAAATAAACACATAGACTTTTAATTATTAATTAAAGGAAATTCGTGCATTATCGCGAATAAAATCATGCACGTCTTCTTTAATTAATAACTACGTCTATGTGGTTATTTGCAAAATAGTAGAGGACTTTTTTGTTCAGTTTGAATGTACAAGCACACGAAGATAGATGTCGTCATCACAGCTAATCTACCATATCGCGTATTGTGATTATCAAATCTTTTTTTATTAATAATTTAAAATTTTATGTGGTTGTTTGTGAGAGAGAGAGAGAGAGAGAGAGAGAGAGAGAGAGAGAGAGGGAGAGAGAGATGGTAGAAGAATTTTGTGATCATTCTCTCATGTACACAGCAGATGTGTGTTCTTAATTCAAATATCCTTAATTATCAAATACCCTATAGATTAATTTATAATTTTTTCAAAAATTTTTATTTATTTTTTTAGATATGATCGTTTGCATGATCAAATGCAAATTTTCATAACATTCAGGATACTTTTTATAGTATCTATTATTTCCTTTTTTCTTTTTTTTCTCTTTTTTCTATTTTTTTCAACATTGCAGAACAGAAATTCGGCGTAGCACGACAGATAAGCCGAATCTTCTCTGTGGCATTGCATTCCTCCCTCTCATTCTCTCTCTCTCTCTCTCTCTCCCACTCTCCCCTTCTCTCTCTTTCTCTCTCTCTTCCTAGCGCGCAACTCCCACCCTCGAGATTTGCATATATCCGACGTGAAACTAGACGATGACTATTGACGATGATGCGACTGATTGTGGGACCATAACTACCGCGTTATCGCGCAGAACATTAACGTACGTTAACACACAGTCGCGGTTCGACGGCTCTACAGTCTCTCGCGCGGAGGGCTCGTCCGCCCGCAGCTTGACACTTACTACTACCGTGGCAGCGCGGATAACTACCGATGCCTTACCTACTGTCAGCATTATCGCGTTCTATTACTGCTGGGCACTGGCCGCGGTCGCTGGTCCGGCTACGCTTGCCAATGACTACTGATACCAGGCCGGGCTCAATGCGGAACTGTAACCGCTGTAACGTCCGTTGACGTTTCTATTGGCACGATCAGGGGAATCTATTGACCCGAATGCGACGGCCAGATAACAATTATTGTCATGCGGCTCGAAGGAAACCACCTCGGCGAGTCGTTCTTCTCGCGTCTTACGTGTGTCGCGATATAGGAACCGCTGAAAAAGAATTTGTTACGTCGCGAGAGAAGAGTTTTTTCCGACGACCTATTTTTGACGTAGAAAGCGAATGATTTTTCAATTTCCCTTCTAAGATAATGTTATAAAATTTTTCACATACACACACATATACGATGGAAAGCATTTTTCTTTTTTTTTTTTTAGATAAAATTTTCCTTCGTTGGATACGTGGACAAAACGCGATATTTTCCGCGCACTATATTTCCAACATTGTTTTTCGACGAAGCAGAGGAGATTTTTTCCTACAATATTCTTCTACATGAAATATTTCGTAGCGAGCCAAAAAATATACCTACTACGCCTCTATTTCAATTTTCGGAAAAAAAATTCGATGCGATATCTTCTTTTTGTATTCTCATTGTACTCACTCTTTCTTTCTCTCTTCTCTTTCTCCCACTCTCTTGAAAATTCTTGTCTTGAGAATGTGAAATATTTTTTATTCAAAAATGATCGAAAATAAAGTGGAAATATTCGCGAAATATTTCAAATTTCTGTGTAAAAAACGGATATGTCTGTATGACAGTGGTGTGATTTATTAGGATTTTTTCGAAAGACTCCTTTCTCTGTCCTCTAGTATCACTCCGGCGTCTCGAAAAGCCAATAAATCCGCATATGAGTAACCAAAGCAAGATAACGTCTTCCGGAGATCCGATGTTCATCCTCTTCTTTTTGTTTTCTTTTTCAGAACTTGAAGAACCAAATCATGACGACAAATGTTTGGGTGGAACAAGTAAGTATTACTTTTCGTTGTAATCATGTGTCACGCGCGTACTAAGGTAACGGCTCTAATTATGGGTAATTTAAGGTAGAGTAACTTTCCATTCATTTATATAAATTGGTCAATTGTCAATCAAAAGGAACTGTTAATACCAACAACAAACACATTTTAGTTTTAACCAAAATTGTTAGCCTTAGATTGATTATAAATTAACAAAAAATAATTCGAAATATTTTATGCATAAAGGTACCAACTATGCGTCAGCAAATATTTAGCGTCCTTATAATGTGTTATACAATACTCAATTTTATATTAACTCTCACATAATATATACATAATATTATATATACTCATAATATACACATAATATATACTCTCACATATTATAAACATATGTTTTAAACACTTTAAACTGATACATTGGATCATATTTATATGCCCTCCGTTACTTATATTCCATAAAAGTACTAATATCTATAAAAAATCTATAAATCTATAAAAAATAATAAATGGACTTACAAACCTGCAAAATATAATTATGTACCTGAAATGTTCGCAAATATGTCTTTCTATTTCTATTTTATTTTATTGTCAGTACAAGCAAAAACATGGATTTGCATAAAAATTTACAACATTTCTGCAAATATATTTAAGAAATTAGCACTCTAAAATTTTCTTGTCAATATTTAAATTTTCAAGTAAAAATAATATTACAATTTATCCAAAATTATTTGTCTACTTCAATTTGTCCAAAAATATAATTATTTGAATATACATCATTTTTTCAAACCAAGAAACGAATAAAATCATTAATAGTGTCAAATTTTTATAGATTATATTTTATTATAAATTCTTATAGAGAGATATATATTAACCTATTATATATAAAACGGATTTTATTAAAATTATTACGAAGATTAGATACCTGAATCTTTTTTGTTCATGATTAGAGTTTGACAAGCCTTAATCGTATATTATTAAAAAAGCTAGAGAAATAAATAAGTTACCTTACATAAAACCTTTCTTATATATTATATTTAAAATAAGGAACTCAAATATATAATGAAAAATTATGTTTATTTTACACTTTGACACGTTAATCTGCTACACTGGGATTAAAATTCCATAGTTAAAGCTCCATAGTAACTTTTTGTTACATGATAAACAATTAAAACTACATTTGAATTTCATTTTTTTATTAACCATTATTTTATTAACCATTTTCTTTAGTGCATGAATCGAAAGTCTTCATTCCGTTAGATTGTAAAAATCCGGTGGAATCGAAAATAACTCCATTATGTCAGATTAGAGTTAACAGTCTCTATATTCACATTGTTGTAATCTATACGAAATAATAGTGTACACAGCATAACCTGCTAAGTTGCATAAATCTGAGGATAAAGAAAATGATATTCTAAATTCTTTCTTAAGTATTAACAACGTTCGAAATTAGTATTAACAAAGTGTAAATGTAACCTTATAATATAATTATAAAAGAACTAAAGAATATATATTTTTTTTCTGTTTGTATATTTGCATAATAATATGTATTTTTTTAATACATTAATGAACTAAGCCCCGAATTTGCTCCGAAATTGGGACACAACCCATAATTGAGATCATTGTCTTACAATTGCAGCATGTATCTTGTTACTTAATCCGCGATAATTAATTATTTGATAGAATACACGGAATGTCGATTTGCCACACTCACAATCGAACATTCAAAAAGATAATCTTGTAGTCATAACGAAAATTATCTAATTACGAGAAATTAACTAATATGGATAAACGACTAGTAAATTTTGCGATATCCGCATATGTTTTGTATTTAATTAATATAGATGGCAGAGACAAAATTTCTATCTGAATTATTTGTGAAATTTCGCAAGAAAGTCTCTCTGTGCCCATTCAGATTAAAACCAGTCACACTTCTTATAAACATTGACCGTGGTAAACAAAAAGGACTATCGCCGAAAGACAAACAAATGTATAACTCTCACACCCAGGCTAAATTTGCTTGCAGATATTGCTACAATACTGCTGCTGTAAATTCTACGTACCACGGACATTTTTTTCTAGCAGATATAAAAACAGCGATAAATTTTAACTGTGACGTTTAGAATTCTACCTGGTCTAGCAAAACATTTTTTTTGAGCGAAAGGTAGCGAAATCGAGTGGGAACCGCTCGAAGATGCGAAACGACTGCGCAAACTGACTGTCGAAGCTCGGTTTCCACGCTCTTTCGTCCGTTTTCCACAGGTTCTATACACGACACGTATCGCGTTGCTTTGACCGTCGAGATCTTCCTTTTCGGTGTAAGGCGGTTTGGAATTTCAAAGCAGGCGAATTTCATTCGCGCTTGTCGGCGATGAAATCCGGATCGGCGGATAGCAGTTGGCCTTTATTGGCGTAACACCCTCCTGCCACCCTCAAGCCACTCTGTGACACGACTGCTCGGTCTCTTCCTCCTCCTCCTCCTCCCTTTGCGAATTCATCGATCGTAATCGTTTTTGCTCTTTGCTCCACAAGGATTACACTCCTCCTCCTCTCTGCTTACGAGTCGCCTCGTTGCTGTTAATCACGAGCTGCCTCTCGACAAATTTTCAATCAGGAATCTTCCGTTTCTCACTCACGGAGATCAAAGTATCGATCTCCGTTCATCGATATGACAATTGCACGAGTGGCGACAATTATTTTAGTTTTCAAGGGAAAAGGAGTACAACGATTGCGATTTTATATTCAGATAGCGAATGATAAAGTCGGAGGAAAAGCGAAGAAGGTTGCGTCGCGCGATGACAGGTGGTACTTCAGAACGGTTTGCTGAAAGGATCTCTCTTTCTCTGTCCGTCTCTCTCTCTCTCTCTCTCTCTCTCTCTCTCTCTCTCTCTCTCTCTCTCCCTCTCCCTCTCTCTTCCTCTATCCCTCTCTCTCTTTCCTTCTCTATCTTCTTCTCTTCAACTTGGTCCTTCTCTAGGAAGGACCCGTCGAGATGTCAAAAAGCCTTGCCCTGCCTTACGGAATCTACAAGCGACGGGGCGGTGCAGGTGGGATGGATTTTAATTGCAAAGCAGTTCGAGCGCACGTAGTCGCCCGTGCTCACGCCGAGATGCAACCCTCGTCTTCCGATGTTGGAAAATTTGGAATTCTCCGGAAGTCTCACGACGGTCGACTCTGGCGGATATCCAAAAGACTTCCTACCGCGCGATTGGATTCTTATCGAAATGTATGGATATTTGTCAATTGACTTTGGTGGAATTCTGTGAAGTCACTGCAGATTTCCGCGTGCGAGCACGCACAGAAGAAAACGTGAGAAGAGAGACAGAGAGACAAAGAAATCTACGAGATTCTTAAGAGGAGAAATATATATCTATCTAGGAGAACCGAAAATAGATGTATATTTGTGAAAACCGTAAAAAAGTATTACTTTTGTAGAATCGAGATTTCCATTAATATTTTACATATAAATTTATTGAAATTGTGTATGCAGAAATTGATATATGCAGAAATATTAAAAAATAACCTAGTTATCTATATTAAGCTTATCCACTGGTGCAATAATATCCACTGTAAAATCCACACGCTGTAAATCCTTAAAACAAAAAAAGCTGAAAAATTCTTAAAATGTATAGATAAATCTAATATTTGTCGTAGCCGATTTGTTAAATTTCCATTTGTTACAAAACAACGCTTTCTGAAAGTAAAAATATAAATAAAATGAAAATAAAAATATGCAAAGAAAATCGACCGTTTTCCTATAGAAAATTAAGGTTTTAAGAAAAAGAATCCTACGACAAAGACTGCATAATTTCATGCTAAAAGAAAGTAGAAAAAAGAATGAGAATGATCCATTTACTTGTGTTCGAGATATTTTGAATATTTTGTGGTTTCGAGAAAAACGCATTTAAAGTTTGAAGTATACTTTGAAGCAATATAAAAGTGAATTCTTTTGACTTACATCTGGAATAATTTATTCCAGGGCCATATAGTAAGTTACTGGAATCATCTATTTCAGGGCTATATAGTAAATTCTCTGTAAACGCTGTAGTCTTCAGTAATTCTAACCTTATTTGTCTACAACGCAATCTTGTCTCTTACATTGTTTGTTTCGCGGTGCGCTCGGCTTTTCTCATCCGGTGTTTGTCCTCTGTGATGACGTACCAATGTGCATTTGGTTTTGTAGCAATCTCCGTTGCTTTCGTAATTTATAATAATAATAAAGACACACCTTCATTAAAGACACAACGTAAATTGCAATTTGTAATTTTGGCGCCACTATGCATAACCTGGAACAATTCTTCATATCATATTATTATTATATATTATTATTATATAAGCTCTCATTATTATTTTGATTGAAACTACCTGCACAACGATCCAACGATTTTATATACAAAATAAAGGTAATATTTGATTTATTAAAATAAAAATATATACAAGCACTCGACTGGTAACAAAGATACATCGAGAAACAAACTTCTCTTTAAAATGCTGTAATTCTTGCTCATTTTTACGAATTCAAACTTGCGGTTTTGGAATAATATTTTTAAGATGTCACTACTTTAGCACTTTAAAACAAAGTAAAAATTAAAAAATTTAGTAAGCGTGCTCCGGTTAATTTGACACAATTATTTGTTTCTTTTATTATATCTACTAATATGTTGTACTTTATATTGTTTCTTTCTTGTAAGTTTTTTCTAGTCTTTCTTTACATAGTACGGTTAGCTGATTAAATATTGTAACACTTTTTCTCGATAAGTTTTACAACGCATTCCGTATCTCCTGAGAGAAAACTATCAGAAAACGAATTCTCCCTAGATACGGGAATATCCCTTTAGTTACGGAATGCGTTACGAAACTCGTCGAAAAAAAGTAGTCGCTGCACTTAATCAGCTGACTGTAACATACGTAAGGCGGCGTCAACATGTTTATTTTAATACAAACATATGACACACGTAGGAATTTTAATAATTTTTTAAATTTGGTTTATTTTTATAAATTTTATTAGACAT